TCAAGGTCAGAATACAAAAAGAAGTTAATTAGGAGAACGCCGATCACGCTCGAAAGGGGGTTACAGAAGGGGGAAAGGGGAATGTCAACAGGGGCCAAATGTGGAAGCACTTGCGAGGAGGGCGGGCAGAATTCCAAGCGTTGACCAGCTGGATAAAACAGTTGACTTTAATTTTGTTAGAGTAGATAAAAATTTAGATTATGACCTTAGTTGAAAAGTAAGTTCTTAATGGCAGAACATGTAGCCCAGGTGTACCTTGAAGTACCATAGGTTAGGGTTGTTTTTCAGGGCTGAAACTCACCAAAAGACATTAAGTGACAGAGGATTCCGTCACCCATTTTCGGCCCTATTTAGATGTATCTGCTGGCAACGTAGAAGTTGGCACACACACACAAACACGGGTAATAAGCACCTTCTGTCGATTCCTGTTCCGTGAGAATGCGGAATGCATCACGCCGAACGCACATATTGAGGATATTTATAGTCCCATCTGGAGTTCAGAGTGTTCTGTCGTGTCATCCCAGTGTCGTAGATATCCCAGTCTCCCTAATCTTTCTCGGTAATAACACACTGCCTATATCATGCGCTGCTGCGCGGCTGCTTGTTGAGCTAGAGTAAGAGCCCGTAAGACACAACGGAACGAGTGAGTTCCGTAAGAACGATCGGTAAGAGCCCCCTACCATTGTATATTCCCGATCGAAACCGATAGGGCAACGGGCTCGTGGTCCTGTGGTTAGAGGCGTGGACTTCTAACTAACAGGCCGCGAGTTCAAGCCTTGGGTGTTCAACACTTCGTGGTTGGATATGACTGGCTGACGACGGCTAATAAGCCAGAAATGGCCATTCCAGTCTCCTTTGTCTTTGTCGGTAATAACATACTGCTGGTCGTGTCTGTCAGACCACCGGTGGGGAGTGTAGCCCTGGGGGCAACCGCGGGGAGGGAAGTGGGGATGCTGAATTTGGGCGAGCGAGAACACAAGACAAAAACTGCAGACACGAAGTTCAGCAAATGAGAATGGAAGGGGAACCGGCATCTTCCTGACACTCCATTGCACCGTCCACATCCTGGGTCCGCGTCCAAGTGTCCTCAACTTCAGTCAAACACCCAGTTCAGCCCGTGGTACGTTGTATGGAAACAGCAGACAAAATTGACTGACTTCATTCCAGGGTACACCGGTGAGTAGGAGATGTAATATACCAACTTGGGGACATCAGCACAACGAAAACTAGCCGCATCTAACTGCTGACGAAGTACCAATGCCGCAGCATCTGAAACCAACTAGGTACCTTAAAGAAAATTTCTTGTAATAAGGTCCTCATGGGAAAATGGGGACATCAGTAAAATCTTTCGTTTAACAATGGATGGACGGGGGACATTTACACGCCATTGGATGGTTTACTCAGGTGGTTAAAACGTTGACTGTTCCGAAAACCTGTCTTTGTGTTCGTGAGTTTGAATCGCAGACAGGCCTCAGAGTTTTTCCCATTTGAATTGTTCCAACCCCCATGGTTTCTTCGTACATTGCACCCAATATAATTTCCCGAATAGAATACTCAGGGAATTACGCCTATATTTCTTAATAAACTGAGCTGAAATGAAGGAAAATAATTTGTGGGGTTAAGTTTTCAAAGCGTTTGGTTTCTGATTCTTTATTTGTGCATTTTATGTGCAGTCTAATTCTCTGCTAACTTTGGCCATAGCTGTTCTCTGTATTCTGTATGACCTCCCTATGTCGTACTCTCTTTAAAGCCGGTGTGGCTCATCTTGCGTTGTAATGCCTGCTGTACTGCCTTAAACCTTCGTTATGTAATATGGCACGTTGTTCGGACGCAACGTGACTGCCGACATTCAGAGGAACAAGTGTTTATAGGTTGTAGTCTATGGGCTTTAACTACATAGCGGAATATAAGTATTGAACTTTTGTTAGGTCTAAATGTTCAGCGTCTAATTGAGTCAGAATGTAACACCCCACGAATTGGTTGAGTGGAGTAGCGCTTCTTGCGCGGGCCTAGGATTGCAGTGGTGTAACAGACCACAGGTTCGACAGGGTTGTTTGAATGAGCAGAAGTCTCTTTTGGCGCGGATCCCAGTTTGGTCCGGTGCAATCGTCTGTAGAGAACAGGAAATTTTAATTAAGATTGTTTAAGTTTTTTTTGTTAACGCCTCCCTGAGCGACACGCCGCTTCGTTCGAAACAAGTCCTAGCAGCAAAATGGGCTCTGAACGATCTGGCACAGAACTCGTTTCACGAGCAACGGGAGCTTTATTGGAGATCTGACATGGTCATTGATTCGAGCTCGCTCAGATCTCACTAAAGCGATCCTGGCATGAGCTCGAAAACCGGACTTGAGAGTTCGTTCCGAGTATGACCTCCGCTCCAAAAAACGAGCTCCACCGCTTAGCCAACAAGGGGTCCCCCTCCCTTCTACTGTCCCATCGCCTTTCATTTCCCCAAATATGAACCATTAAAGTAATCAAAGGAACATATGTCAGGATAAAAATAGTATATGTAAAAAAATTCAGCATATCTGGCGGTTGTTTGAATTAATCAAAGCCTCAAGGTTGTTGGTCTCCATTTTCTGCATTTGAATAGACGTGTATTGTAAGAACCGAAAAGGCAAGTTTGTTTAAAAGAGAGGAAGAACGGGCGAGCGGGAAAAGAAAAGGAGGCGGGAGGTTTCGTGCCGTGGTTTGAGTGCGCCTTCTCTCTGGTGTTTCAGGTGAGGACAGCGAACGTGAACAAGGAAACACCCAAAACCCCGTGGATGTCGTACCTCCGAGGCCACCCCCCTGACCAGCAAGTGTTTCCTCTTCCCTCCTCTACCCCCTGAGACTTTCCACGTTCTTGATCCCCTCCATTGTCCTCTCGTTTTCGTATCTCTCCCTTTTCCAATATATCGTTCCTGTTACATTCTCTTTGACTGTTCGAACCACTTCTGTACGTTGTGTCGTTGTCTGGTCGTCTGATGGCAAGATCTAAGCCCAACCGTTCAGGAAAGGTGAAAACGGCTCCGTCCCCATCTCCTTCTACCTAGTCAGTCGACGTAAGTCCGAAACCAGACTCCCAACTGAAACCCCAGTGCGGTCCACCTACTACAGTGGTGGCAGCGCAACGACCGTGCCCACAACCCCTGAACATGTCTGGCAACAAAATAAATCCAACGCGCACCGTCGACATACCACCCTACGATGGTTCCGAGTCCTTCACGGTGTGGCTAAGACGCTCGAAGTTCTATTTGCGGGAGATCGCAGAGGCCGACAGGCCCTGGACGTTACTCAAGGCCCTCGCGCCTAAACAGTTGGATAAGGCGCTCGACGCTGGTCTCGACGCCGATCTTCCCTTTGACGCGCTTTGCCAACGCCTGGCTAACCTGTTCAGCCATACCTACTCCTTCGGCGACGCAATGGAACGGTTGCAGAAACGGAGGTTGAACCAAGAGGAAACCCTTAACCAGCTGGTGGAGGATCTGCAACGCCTGACAACGGTGGCTTTTCCCTCTTTGGGCTCTGCAGATAAGGATAACACCGTACTCTATTATTTTATTAAAGCGCTGCCGACATCCGACCTTTCACGGTCACTGTTGTTGCAGCCGCCGGACAGTTTACAAGAGGCCGTCACCAGGGCCGAACGCTACCTGCGATTGTGCCCTCCAACCTCCCGTCCCCTTCCTCCTGAAGAGGGACACGGTCGAGATGCCCACCCTACGTCCGCGGGACCAGGTACCTTCTATCCCCCACGACGTTTCAGCGGCCAAACACGACCACCCTTCAATCGTCGAGGAGGACCGTTTCGCCGGCCAGGTGGACAAATGCTTCCCAGAAACCACATCTGCACCTGTCAAAGGCCAACGGGTACGGTCTCTATTACTTCTTGCACCAGCTCTACTTTATCAGTTACCCCTTTTTATGCCACAGTAACCGTAGCTGGTCAGACTGTAAAGGCGTTGATTGATACGGGAGCGACGGTATCCCTAGTTAACCCACGGGTCTTACAACCGGGTATACAGCGCCAGCGTAATGACATTCACCATCCAGGGAGATTGACCACGGCCGACGGATCACGCTTAATACACCATGGGACCGTGCCGCTCACCGTAACGCTCCCCTATTTCACAGCCGAACATAGTTTTATCATAACACCCCATCTCACGTGGGACATACTCCTCGGGACTGATTTCGTCGCGCGTTACGAATGCCACATTGACGTACGGAATAGGCGAATTGAGTTCCGACATACCGACGCGGAAGGCCCGGCTGAACCCCAGATCGTAGGCGAAACGGCCGCCTGTGCCGCAATCCAAGAGGCAGTTAAAATTCCTCCGACGTCTATCGACGATATACTACCCACGACAGATCGGGCCGATGTAGAGACAGAGACACTTAAACGGATGTTACTTGGGTTTCACGATGTCTTTGCGTGGGACGAGTACACTGTGGGCAGAACCAGTTGTATACGACACGCTATTGAAACCGGCACAGCGAAACCAATTTGGCAACCGCCACGGCGCATCCCAGCCCATTTGCAGAAGGAGGTCTATACGTTATTAGATAGTATGTTGGCGACGGGGGTGATAAAACCCTCCCGTTCGCCTTGGGCATCACCAGTGACTTTAGTTCCAAAGAAGGACGGCAAAATACGTTTCTGTATCGACTACAGACGCTTGAATGCCGTGACCACACGAGATTCGTTCCCTTTACCACGTATCAAGTGTACACTTGATGCCTTAGCTGGGTCCCGATGGTTCTCCACTTTGGACCTAAAGTCCGGCTATTGGCAAGTGGAAGTAGAGCCAGCAGACCGCCAAAAAACGGCGTTCATCCTCCCACAAGGATTGTACGAATTCGAAACGATGCCTTTCGGCCTCTGTAACGCGGCTGCTACATTCAAACGGCTGATGCAGGTAGTGTTGTCACACCTCTATCCGCGCCAGTGCCTCATCTACCTTGACGAGGTTATTGTCTTCGGCAAAACTATCGCCCAGCATAACGATAATCTACGCGCCGTGCTCCTAGCGTTGCGCGAGGCAGGCCTTACGCTTAACCCACAGAAGTGTCAATTCCTGCGAGAAAAGGTTAATTACCTAGGACACGAAGTCAGCCCGTCGGGTATCAAAGTCTCAGCTGAAAAGGCGGAAGCTATCCTCACTTGGCCGACGCCAAACTCCACCACGGAAGTCAGAAGCTTTATCGGGTTGGCGTCTAATTACAGACGGTTTATTCGCGATTTTGCAGGTATTGCGCGTCCGTTACACCGACTTACAGAAAAAGGGCGCGAATTTCGTTGGACGGACGAATGCCAGGCCGCGTTTGATGAGCTGAGAACCCGCCTGTCGAGAGCACCGATACTTATGCTCCCCAATACCACCGAGACGGCGCCACCCTTCGTACTGGACACGGACGCCAGTGCTTTCGCCATGGGAGGTGTACTTTCGCAAACCGACGATAACGGCCTAGAACGCGTTATCTGTTTCGCTAGTAAAACACTCACTAAGCCCCAACGAAATTGCTGCACATATCGACGTGAATTATTGGCCATTGTCACCTTCGTTAAACAATTCCGGCCATATCTGCTAGGAAAGTCGTCTGTCATACGCTCCGATCATAAGGCCCTGCAATGGCTACAAAACACGAAGGACGCAGAGGGTCAACTTGCTCGCTGGCAGGAAATGCTACAGGAATATCATTTCACTTGTACATACCGCCCCGGGAAACAGCACGGCAACGCCGACGCCTTGTCCCGACGGCCAACAACACCAGCCACACACGATGAAGACCGCGCGTTAGGCGAAATAAACGCCATTTACGCCAGCGAACCAGCTAGACATCATTGGGCAATAGCCCAGAGCACGGACCCCGATACCGCAGTAGTTTACGACCACCTGTTAAACCGGCGACACCGTCCTACGGACGATGAATTGCGTGGGTCGTCAGAAGAAGCACATATACTGCGGTGCCAATGGCCACGGCTGCATATCGACGAAGATATCCTTCTCATTAAGGACGAGAGCACAAAAACCGACAGAGTAGTAGTACCAGGCAGCCTCGTACACGTGGTCCTCACGGATCTACACAACGAGTTAGGCCACGTCGGACAAGCCAAGACAGAAGCCGCCACTCGGCAACGATTTTGGTGGCCCCATCTACGAGAACACGTCGCCACCTTCTGCAATACATGCACCACGTGCGCGACGTTCAAGGCACCTAGACAACTCCCACGTGCACCGTTGCAACCCATGCACACTAGCTTTCCGTTCCAGCGGCTGGGCCTGGACAGCATCGGGCCCCTCCCCTTTACGACAACCGGTCATCGGTTCATACTGGTGATGGTGGATTATTTCACCAAATGGGCAGAGGCTGTGCCGCTATTACGACAGGACGCAGTGTCGCTCACCAACGCAATCTTTAACAACTGGATTTGCCGGTTCGGTGTTCCGTTGTCAATACATTCCGACTGCGGGGCTAACTTCGACAGCAAACTGCTGCAAGAGGTTTGTGACCTCCTCGATATCTAAAAGACTCGCACCACTCCAGCACATCCCCAAGGCAACGGATTGGTTGAACGAACTAACCGTACCCTGAATCAACTGTTGAAGGCGTTCGCGGAAGACCATCACCCCCAAGACTGGGATAAACGACTACCGTGTGCCATGATGGCGTACCGTGCTAACACACACACGTCGACGGGCTACCCACCTTTCTTTATGCTAACCGGACGTCAATTTCGCCTTCCCGCAGATTCACGGTTCCCACAACCGGCCGCAAACGAATACGCACCAGATAGCTACGTTTGGCAGCTGCAGGATTTGCTACGCTACACCTACACACTCGCACGTAACCACCGAGGTGCGGCCGCCGAACGACAGAAAACATACTTTGACCGTCAAGTCCACGGCAACCCTTACCAACTAGGCGATCTGGTTTGGCGTTTCCGACCAGTACCACCCTTAGGAACGGCGGCCAAGTTCTTTCACCCGTGGGAAGGACCATTCGTTGTTGTCGATGTCATACACCCCACCACGTATGTATTGCGCGATGCTTCACGCCCCGACGGACCCACCTTCACCACCCACTTCGACAAGCTAAAACCCTATAGGGGGCGACTACCCACCGCCACCGCGGACGTAACCCCCATCATTCCCCCACATTTGGTTCCCACCCCAGTGGTTGAAGAAACAGTGGACATGACCCAGCCAGACAGCCCTGCGGACAGGGTTCCATCTGAGGAGGGGGGTATGTAAGAACCGAAAAGGCAAGTTTGTTTAAAAGAGAGGAAGAACGGGCGAGCGGGAAAAGAAAAGGAGGCGGGAGGTTTCGTGCCGTGGTTTGAGTGCGCCTTCTCTCTAGTGTTTCAGGTGAGGACAGCGAACGTGAACAAGGAAACACCCAAAACCCCGTGGATGTCGTACCTCCGAGGCCACCCCCCTGACCAGCAAGTGTTTCCTCTTCCCTCCTCTACCCCCTGAGACTTTCCACGTTCTTGATCCCCTCCATTGTCCTCTCGTTTTCGTATCTCTCCCTTTTCCAATATATCGTTCCTGTTACATTCTCTTTGACTGTTCGAACCACTTCTGTACGTTGTGTCGTTGTCTGGTCGTCTGATGGCAAGATCTAAGCCCAACCGTTCAGGAAAGTTGAAAACGGCCCCGTCCCCATCTCCTTCTACCGAGTCAGTCGACGTAAGTCCGAAACCAGACTCCCAACTGAAACCCCAGTGCGGTCCGCCTACGACAGTATCAACACACTTGCGGATGAAGTCTAATAGAGCGCGCAACCCAAAAACTAAAACGTAAGCGGACAAATAAAACGTTGATTAGTTAAAACAAACAGACGGCAAATTATAGCATGCTACAAAAGCAGAGGAATATAGTAATCAGAATGATTATACGAAAACAAATTGCATTACAATAATTATATTTTCAACTGACTATCGAAAATATCGACCTTTTGCCGTACAGTCCATCAGTTATGTAGGTTAAATGATTGCCACATACTAATCGCCATATCTAAATGAATGACGTTCCTGGACGGACCACTGGAAGCCAAACGCCGTGAAAAATCAAAAGTTTGGGCAAACTGTGTGAAAGTTTCAAAACGAGTGACCATATACCAACTGTACCAACAAGACTAGCTTACTGTGCTAATTAACCCACTTTCCAAGTAACTGACAAACTTACCGACCGTCTAACTAACTAACTAACGAGCTAACTGACTAACTCACCGACTAACTAATTATTTTATCTAACAATCTAACTAACTAACTTACCAACTAACTACCTAACTATAGCGACAAACAATCTAAATAAACTGACTAACTAACCGACTAAATAACTTACTACACTAACCAACCGCCTAGCTAGCCTACTATACTAAATAACTAAATTTTGGGTGCGCTGCGTGAAACTTTCAGAGCGAGTAACCCTATAATAACTTCTTATATGACCAACTTTCTCAGTTGATCGACTTTCTTTATGACACCTTCCAGGTCTCTCAGTGATTGAAGCATTATTCAAACATAATTGCACAAAATTTAAACTTAAGAATAGTGCCAGAAGCCGTCGCTGATCGCATAAAAATGTTCGACCAATCACTATTCAGCACTCTGACACGCGTCCGCATATCGCGTTTTTTAATTACACAAGGGTATTTGAACACAATCTGACCATTTAAATTTATTAGTAACATGAATATGTAAATAAATACCTTGTGTTTGTTGGCTGGTTGAAGCCCTATTGCACTTCCTTTGGTGTCTGGCATGTGCCTTTTTAAAAGCATTTTTCAATGCAGTTTCTAGTTTTCGTCGGTCCGCATTGTGATCTTTATTCCATTTATTGCACATCTCTAAAATGCAGTTGTTCAGTTGGACAAATCTAAAATCCTACCCAGGATGATGGAATCGACAGGAGTTTCCAATAAACCCCTACTATCCGCTTTTCTGCCGTAGAACCTTAGAGAACCAGCAACTTCCTCTGTGAATAGGGTGAAGTATAGTCTGTCAGCAAAAGCTGATGTTTTTTCACCTCCTGTTGAGGACAAGTAGGATACCCGCATCCGGTGTTTATATAAACAGACACTGTGTTAACGACCTAGCACGCTGCGAAAATGCTCTCGGCAGGTAGGTGTTCTTCGCGCGTAAGTTATTATTTAAAGTAGATACTGCTGATGCAGACAGCCTGTATGCACTATCCCTTGGGCTACGCAGCGAAAAGCCCAGAAGTCTTCTCTTAACGCCTAGGTACACCAAATGTAAAGGCTCTAATGGGAAGGAGATGACCATTCCTACACTGCATGCCAACAATGGTGACACGCAAATGCGGTGGCAGTCATCGGCCGCTGAAAAAAATCCTTATCTGCCCTAGCACGTTCAGAGGCACTATCATAAACTATCTTATCTACGTACTCTCCCTTAACGCAACATCGCTCGCAGCCATAGTACGCATTCACATACTTAATCTGTTTAATGAAAGCCCTTGCGGGAGCATCACATATGACGGAAGCCACACGGAGGCGCAGAGTTTTGTCAATCGCATCGACACGCAAACCATCACTGTTCAACGACAATAAACCGTCGACCAGTGGTTTGCAGAACGCCCGCACGTCCAAAGGCTTCCCGACTCCGCAGTATGTACCTACAGTGAAAACGACATAAACCTGGCTCCACAATCCCATCTAAAATAGACTAAACTCGCGCTTAGTCTTCCTATGATTTGGAAGACCATCTATTGCTAGGCACATAAGTACTCCTTCTATTGGACAACGCAGAGAGAGAGAAATAGAGGATACGCAATTGGCCGCTCAGCTGAGCAAGAAGTCCTAAATGCA